TAGGAGAGTGAATGATCATGGATATATAAGAGCTGACAATTATCTCTATTGGTAAAAGGTCTTTTGGGTGAAACAAAAAACAAAGAAATGACATGAATTTTTAACAATGACATGATATATATATATATATATATATATATATATATATATATTTTTGGCTCTCTATTTCAATGAATTAATGTGTAGATATAAAGTATCTCATTTACAAATTTTGTTTTCGTATATATAACATTGCAAGTATGTTACTAATGTCATAAGCGATTTTGTTTACCACTTTAATCAAAGAGGAAAAAAGTTAGAAGACAATATGGGATAAAGGAGAAGGGAAAGGAATAATCCCTATAATATATTGCAAGTATTGTAGTTTTCTTCTACGTTTCTACTTGAAATACCCAACTCCAAAAGGAAGCCTATAGTACTGCAAATAAAATCCAATACTTCAATTCTTATAAAGAAGAGAGAGAGAGAGGAAAAAAAGAAACCAATGACTATTTCAAGGTTTCATGTAGAATTTGTCAAAAAAGAAAAAGAGAGAGAGAGATTTTGTGTGGCATAATTTGTTCACACTATGACGATGACATTGTTGGTATCTTTTTGTTTTCTCAATGTTTTATTCTTGTATTTTGTTTTACTTCAAATTTCACTCAATCCTATTATAGAAAAGTAACATAAATTTCATTCATTTATTTGAGATAACTATTTGTATTTTGAACATGTTTATAAGTTGTGTTGATGTAAGATTTTGGACTGAGATAGAGAGTTGGATATTGATCTGAATTGGATATCCAATCAATCAAAGTTTGATGGCCTACAAATAGAACATTGCACCTTGTACTGATCTAGTACTAGTCACATACACTCAAAACCTCTAAATTGGTTTCAAGCCGAATTTAGTTAGATTGCATACCTCTAAGAGGAATTAATCCCACCTTTTACAAGGAGAGCTTTGAGAAACATTGCCCTACCATCRTATCAATAAGATCTATTTTTCATTCAATATCGAGTATGTTTGCACTGTCGTCCCTGAGCAAGGGGACCACATGAGAGGCTCTRATTATACTTATAACAAGTTCAAACCAATCCCATCGTCTTATGCCGTCACGAGTATATTAATAAATTCCTATAACAAATTCTACTCTCTGCTATACTTAACAGCAACAAAACACTTCATTATAACCATTAYAGTACTGACTCCACAAAATATTAGAGCAAAAATTATTTAGACCACCTAAGATTTTGAATCCTAGAACTTATGGGCCGACATAACTGAGGCCCAAAATGGTAGCCAGAGTGAGAGTATTATTATCATTTTCAATGACCAACATCTGCAAGAGGCCCATACTGGATTGTCTTTTACCAGCACTTGGGCCTAGGCCCATCCAGATCAGAAAACAAATATTTTCATTATTAACTCTTTTTTATACACCACATTCCATTTTATCCCTAATAATTATAACTTTTTTTTCCTTACATTAGTGTATATAGAAGAAGATAAGACTTTTATATAACAAAACTAAAATTATAACTGGTTAGTAATTAATAAAATATTATAATTTGTAAACTATTTCTAAAAAAAAATGTATTTTTAATTCATTGAAACGACATATGCCACCATAAATCAATGTTCTCTTCTTCCTATTTAATTATCCACTCTATTTTTCTCTTCAATCAAACCTGGACTAATGACTAAAACCAATAATTAATAATCCTTTTTTTTTTTTTAATTTGAAGTCTCAAATTCGTTTCCCTTCCCCATTCAAATCTCTCCCTCTAATCCATTTTCTTTAGAGATTCAGAGAGTTGAAATTTATTAACTCTAAGGAGTCAAATTTTTTTCTTATTAATATATATCGGATAGGAAAATTTAAGATTTGATCCCCTCTAAATAATAAGGATGTGATTTTGAAAAAATAGATTTAAGTATAATTGATTTTTCAAAATCAATTTAAAATGATTTCAAACTTTGCTAAAATCAAATTTTAATTTGTAAAAGAGGAGTGATTTTGAGCATGCCAAAATCGCTCCCAAACATATCCTAAATCGTCGTCAAATCATAAAATCTAGGGTACAAATCTTTAAAATTGACCCACGTAATTAGGGGAAAAAAAAGAAACAGAGTGACGATTCCATATTATTTTTTAAATTAGTTTGAGTTGGTAATATTTAATAATTGATTTTGTTTTAGGAATATCAAAATCCGAAGAAGAGGGGGTAAAGATATAAAATGGGCAAAAGAATGAATTTGAGGAGATAATATATTTTTTTGTATTTTTTTTAACTAATAATCTCCCATTTCAAACCGTTCTACACTTTTTTTAAGGGCAATATAGAAAAAACGTAATTCCAAGGCTCTTTTTAAATTCAAGGGAAATTTGATTTTCCTTCCATGTTCTAAAGAGAAATTCCAACCTCCAATTTTTTAGAAGAAGAAATTCGAATCTCCAATTTTCAAAGTTCTAAGTTAAGTGATCCTCGTATTGATCTTTAGATAGGTAGATTATACATTGGTCAGTTAGTAGCTATACTCGTGTCGTGTCGGTCGTATTAAATAGTCGATTAAATTAGGTTGATGATTTATTGTGAGAAGAAGAATTTTTTTATTTGTTTATTATTTTTAAGAAATTATTATTATTATTTTTATATATCGTGGAGGGATGACGGCCACCCATGTGCAGAGATGGTCCTATTTCAGACACCCCACTCCCCACCATGCATGTTTAGACTTTTGAACCCCTAAATCAAAATATAACTATTTATTTATTAAAAACAATTTTTTTTTTTTTTTTACTTCCATGGAATGAGTTAAAATTTCAATTTCGAGACAATACATTTTTCTTATTTTAGTATTAGTTGTAT